GGGCGAAGTCAGATGCACCGAAAGCTGCTTCTAAGAAGCAGAAAAAGCAGGAGAAGGATGGCGACGGTGATAAGTGAACATGATCTGATTTCTTTTCAAGGCCTTAAGGTTGGCTCTTGGTGTTTCCTGACCTTTAATGAATACGTACGTATCTCTATAGAAAGTTTCATATTATATTGTTTCAAGGCTTCATGCAGTTTCCATCGATCTCTGTGCAATTGCCAACCTGTACTTCCTTCCAATTAGCACTTTGGCCTGTGCGTGTTAATCAATACGTCACAGCCATCTAATCTAGCTAGGGGTTGATCGCAAGAAAAGGGAGAAAACATCCTGCTACTGCTGCACTGCTGCATGTGTTTTTTTGGTGGTGCATGCACAGTTTGGTGCTGTTAGATTGGCCAGGCCTGTGCCAATCCCTTCAAGATGGTGAGCCTGACAGTCCAGGCCTCTTTGTGTAAACCACATTGCTATGCAGGTACTAGTTCCATGCTCCGACGCAGGCGACCTGGACTCCGATGACTTGGCCGATGAGTTTGTGCGACAAGCAGAGACAGGGGTTCCTCGGTTTATATTATAGCCTATGCCATCTTAGACTGCAAGTTTCTGATTCAGCCTTGTGTTTTTCAGGCTACTTCAGCAAAGGCTGCTATCAGAATGTCGTCCAAAGCCTTTCAAAGAATGACCAGACTAGGAGAGGCTCTGATGTAGATGTTGCATACATGTGAAACTAACCTTTTGGCGCAGGAGTGACCGACCCAGATTTGGAGAAGTTGGCCAGCTACCGCTCCTCAAAGTCTGGGAGAAGTGGCAAGAATGCTGCACGTGACTTCCACCGGTATGCTCGCCGAGCTGGGAAAGTATTTGGTGTCAAGATTTCACAAGTCAAAGTCCCCATCCGAGTGAAGAAGCCCAACAAGAGTGGCCGGAAGATTAAGCGGGAAGAGATTGTTGACTTTCCCATTATCACCCTTTCTTCTTGGATGTGCACTATTCTCAGCTCCTGTCCACAATTTTTCCTGGGTGGACATGACCTAGAACAAGAGCAACTGTATGGTGACATGCTGCAGTCCTTTTGGGACCGATTCGTTGAGGCAAACCCTGAGCACCCCATGAAGGAGAAACCGTCTCAGCACAGACGATTCACTGTACCGGTGGCAGTGCATGGGGATGAAGGCAGAGGCCTTGGACATGTTCCCCTTCTCGTGGTCAGCTACCAAGTTGTGATCCCATACCACGGGGCCAATGAGTTGAACCTTGCAAAGACCTTTGTCAAAATTAGGTATGCTTTTGGTCCCTGGTTTACATTCTTGAAACAACATGTATAGGACATTATAGGACCTGAGATTCCTGCGCCCTAGGCATTCATTCGCCAGCCGTCTTCTGTACTCCTTGATCCCAGCCTCGTGGTATGCTGCAAAGGACGCCAGCATTTGCAGCCTCAGCCAGGCATTGGCAGATGACCTCACTGACCTGTTTGAAACAGGGGTGCCCATTGTTTCTTGTTGGACACCTCAGTGGTATACATATTCTTTTGTTTGGTGGTTATGTTTGTCATTCCCTGAACAGATCCAAGTGGTGGAGCTGTGCCCTTAAGGATTGCAATGGGAAGACACGTGAATTCCATGCTTCGCTGGTTGCGTTCAAGGGCGACTGGCCCTGGCTCAGGAAGGCGGTGGCCTTGAAAACAGGGTTCACCTCAAAGAGGGTTTGTCATTTATGCCCCGGCGATGCACCCCAGCGTAATATTGCAGGTTTGTATATCTTTTTTTGAAGTGATTCATATTTGGAGAATATATATATGATCCTTACCCTTGGTCTGACCACCTGTGCAATTAAGGAATGGTGGAACATGACCAGTTCTGGACAAGCTCGCACATTTTCTCAGGAGATTCCGAACCCGTTCAAGCCAGGTAGGGTGTCCCCTCTCCGTGAAATCCCTGGTGGTGGGATGATTTCAACAATCAAGAGTGATATCATGCATATTTGGAATTTGGGAATCGGTGGCGATCTATCTGCAAGTACAATTGTCCTACTTTGTGAGATGGGTCAGTTTGCTGGTAGGGGGTTGCCAGCAAGAATGGATTCAGCATTCGACGCGTTCATGGAGTGGTGCATGATGAACCACAAAACACCGAGCACAAAGTCGTTTGAAAAGTCACGGTTCCACATGAAAAAGACCCTTGGACCCATTCAGTTCTTCAACCGTTTACTTGTGTTGGTAGCCTGCAAACTTGAATCGGTGTTTCCCTAGGTGCCCCCCCAGCCATCCAAATCAGGAACTCGGACTATCCTACAGGTGTTTCGCGGGCACATGATGTGGCATTGTTTTGCAAGTGGTTGGACGACTTTCTTCAGGGTGTATCCATGGACGATGTTGCTACGTAGATGCAATTGCCATCAAATACCTCTCCAAGTCACCGAAAGATATGTTATAGATGTACACCACACTTTCCATATTCTTCCCCAAACTAAGGCTCCTCACTTCCGGGATATGTTGGAGGTTCTCAAATTTATCTTTGTCGAAGCCAACAAGTTCTTCAAGATTCTCTATCACGAGGGGATTTGGTTGCGCCCGGGAGCGGCAAAGGACGCAGTTGGACATGGGTATTCCATAGCTGATGCTTTGGCTTTATATACTGTCAAGCAACCCAGAAATATCAGAAATAAATATACTTAGGGAACATCGAATGTTTAGGTCTTGGCAGTTCCGGGTATGTCTCAGGAAGGCTACCAATGCTTGGCCCGCATGACTGCGGAGGGCGGGTACAAAATGTACCGAGTGAGGCCAAAGTTGCACCTATTCGTTCACATAGTGACCCTCGGCTAACCAGTTCTTGTTTGCTGTGTGTTGGGTGTTCATGTGTGAGCTCTTAGCTCTGAACCGAGGCGGGACTTGGAGAAAGACTTGGCTTCCAGTTGCCCTCACATAATGAATCCAATTAGAACCTTGACCTAAAGGTTTTCTGTCATCTCTTCCGAGTTCCTTTTGCACTAAACCAATGCCGCTTGTTGTTGCCTGCTCTATGCCTTTCACAAGGCTGGAGCTGCTGGAGTGATGAAGACTTTGTTGGAAAGATTAGTCGGCTAAGTCGACGCGTGAATGCCAATCGGCTAGTGGTACGTCGTGTAATGAGCTGCAGCTTGATGAGCTACAAGCGGCATTTTGATAAAATCAAGAACACCTGCACTGGGTGACCCGGCTGATGCGGAAAGCGCCAGCTTCTCCAGTGATGTGTGTGTGCGATTGTGAGTTCACGCGATCGGTGGTGGAAAAAAGTGACCACCCACAAGAAGGCATGGATTGGGAGGATGGTGGGTTCAGATTAGGTATCGCTTAGGTGGCTCGTCCTTTTTTTAATGAAACGAGCAGTTTCTTCAAAACGAGCAGAAACACAATGACACGAGCAAGAAAGAAACGTAGCAAAAAATAAAGTAGCAATGGAGGCCCCTGGTAGGTTTTTTTTTGCATTTCCAAAGCCAAAGCAAGTCTCGCTGCCGCGGCCTCGCGTGCAGTCATTACAAATTAAGTGCATAGGCAGTGGCAGGATTGTAATCCGCACCCTGCGCCGCTTCCGTGTCGAAGTCGGCCATGAGATCACATACAAATGTGTGAAACTCGTCCGGGTGCCTGATTCCGCCTTTGGCGGGAAGGGCAGCTTCGAAAACTTTGGCCAGGGCAAAGCAGAGTCCTTTTGGATACTCTTTTAGCTTAGATGTGGCCCAAGTGCCATCCGACTGCCGCCCAATTGCGGAGGTACATGGTAGCGGAGTGCAACGCGCAGCCAACAGGATATGCTCAAGGTCACGAGGTGCATGTGTGAACAACAACTTCGTTGGCTTAGGCGAGAGTCTACCGTAAAAGCCCTGAAGAATGCGCACCAGCCTTGTTCCTCTAAACCGCAAGAGATATCTGATGACAGCTAGCCTCCACACAGAAGCAACTCCAGGATCAGTCGAGTCATCCGAAGGGTGCTCCATGACTCCAACCGCACCACAAAAGATTGCAATGAGAAGGAGCCGGACAGTAACTCCGAGTAGCCCGCTTCCGAGTAGCACCTGTAGTGACTCCTTACGTGTGAGGTAGCGGTGGCCATATGGCACTGCAGCTGTCCTGACAATGCGTGGTCCACCACCATGTTCTAGGGCTACTCCCCTTGCCACAGACCAGGTTTCGCAAGGAGGACCTGCCACAAATCCTCGAACCCAGCCCATATATAAGGCCTTACGAAAAAATTGAAATGTGTCCTCCCTGAGGAGGTTTCCTCTAGTAGCATCAAAGATTATATCGATTGATAATGTTTTGAAGCCCATACTTTCCAGAACACCTTGTAGGTCACCGTCCCGGCGGTGTCCCGAAAAAAGATGCGCCACAAATATGGCTTCGAACTCTGGCAGTGTTTGCGGAAGTATAGCAATTTCGTCAAAGGAACCTGCAGCACATTCAAAAGCCTGGGTGGCCTTCATAGGCCTGTCATCAGTCTGAGCGTCATGAATGCCAAACCAGGAAGGCCCAAAAAGTATCTTATAGCGTTCAATTGCACAGACTGTAGCCAGGGTAGTCTCTTCATGTGCTTGTAGGTGCTCACTCGCCCATTGACAGAACAGCGCCAGAACCTCATGAGGGAACATAGCAGCCTCTCGGGTCGCATCGCGTAGTCCCTCCAGAAGGTCTATCACGCCCTCAGGCTCGTAGGTTCCAACATATACTTCAACAGATGGGGTGTTTATGCTGTATAATCAACAGTTGTGGATGGTTGCTTTTGAGGTCCATTTGTGTTGGTCATACAAAGGTCAAACGTTGGGCCCAACACGGTTAGTTGATGTTAGCTGTGACCCTCCATGAAAGCTTGGCCCGTTTTCGATGTTGTTTTGTGCTGGGTAGAGTCTTCTGGTTTTGCACATTCGTCGTACAGATCCCCAGGTGAGCAAGGCCAAAAGCCTCCCAAGATGAACTAAGTATAAGGCCTTGTCATATATCATTCGTCTTTGGCCCAGCTCAGGTGTTAACATGAACCTCTACGAGGATGAGGAGCGGGTCTTTCACCTGCAGCTCTCCAGCGGATCTCGATTCTCCAGGGTCATACCGATGTTGGAACCAGACCCACATGTCACATGCGATCCCAGCTGTTGAAGATCCCTTAACGGGTGGATGTTTGCTGGACCAGAAACAACGACCACTCATCAGCATCATTAATTCAAGTCGACATGCGGTCAGACTTGGTTTTCATTGCAACAAATCACAGCTGAAACATGTGGCAGTCGAATCACTCGATGAATGTGCCATTTGCAGTCATGACTTCCGACACGAACCCGCTGGACCGAACCCGCTCGTTCCCGGTTCGCCGGTTCCGCCCGCAGTCCCAAAACGTGGGCTGGCACTCAGACGACGAGGCGAGGCGCTTCGCGGCGAAGCCCATGACACCATTGGAAGAAGGGAGGGTTGGCAAAATGGAGATTCTACCCTTACTTGTAAGAGAATCTTACAGCCACAGAAATTCTACCCAGCACTGTGAAATAATATGACATTCAGCTGGTTGAACATTGAACACCTCTCTTATTACATGCTTGTGAGGGCCAAAGACAGCTCTTCAGGAGAACAACTTGCACTCTGAACGGGTAGGGAGCTGCTAAAGTGACCTGTCTTGCTGATATTGTTTACACACACCATGTTTTCTTTTTTTTCTAAGCTTTGCAGTCCTTGAAGCAGTGAAATATATAGGAGTAACAGGATCTGTACCAGGGGGGGGGGGCGAGGCGTGCCACCAAATGGCTACAACCCGCCGGTCGCCGGTGCATGCGCAACCCGATGCAGGGCCTCTTCCGTGGCTGCCAAACGGATTGTTCCGAGCCCCCAGAGGGACGGAGGAGACGGAGGAGACGGAGATGTTTGCATCCACCGAGAGACGACGGACCGTTCGACCCTCCAATGTCCGTATACCTGTGAGTCATCTGCACATTTGTGAAATGTCTAGAGGAGAACTTTGTTTTGGGATGGACCCGGTGACTGCATCATTCAACAAGTTTGTTGATTGGTTGCTTGGTTGGATCATTGGAAGATCATATTTGGTGGCTCGTTGGTGCAGGTGAAACTTCTCATCCTGAAGCAGGTTATGACAGGTTATGGCTGGGCGCGGGAGAGTAGTGTTTTTTGGAGGTTTTTGTGTTTACCATGTTTCAATGTGTTTTCTTAAGTGGATCTATTTTGGATGCATCCACCAAACAACATGAGATGAGGTCTAAATTGATTTTTCCAACTGTTCTATCTCCAACCTCTCTGACCACCACCACCTTCGTTTGTTTGTTCGTTCTTCCGCATGTTGCTTTCCGCGTTCACCGGGCACGGGCGCCGAGGTCGGATCATCTCGGCCTCTTGGGGGGCTCCACGGCGCTTCGAGATTGCCCTGAAGGACCACGACAAAGAACGTTCAAAGTACGTCGCACATGTTTTTTGTTGTGTTTTAGCCTTGTTGTTGTTTGGGGGTTCGCCATGCTTCGGCGTTGGGAGGGAGCAATGTTTCGCATGGCGTTCCATTTTTTTTGCACCACCGCGATGGATGATGTTGGGTGATGGTTCTTTGTTGGGATTCCAGGGGTGTGATTCGTTTGCTATAGGCTATTATGGGCCATTATAGGCTATAGTTCTCTAGAAACGTGTTTGGATGTGTTGGTATATGTTGGTGTTTTTGAGTTCGGAAGTAGCGAGGACCCACATGCTGCTCCTTGGAGACGTTTCAAGGTGCTCCACAATTGGGTTGGCCCATTTTGATACATCCAAAGGCTGCTAGCTGGTGGTGCAAACAAGTAGGACTGGACAATTCTCAGTTCAACAGCCCAAACCTGCTTACCAAGGCATCTCAATTCATTAAACTACGTACCGTACCATCTTAAACCCACCGCTTTGACAGGCTGCAGTCAAAACACCCTTTTTGGTTTTTTTTGGAGCATTGTCTTTTTTTATCCAGTCGATGCTAGGAGCCAGATCAAACTGGCAGTTCAAAAATTCCCAGGTTGGATATAGTCACAGCTTTCACCTCAAAATGCTCAAAAAACTGTCGCCGACTAGCGAGGCGCCTTGGCGCGCGGCGCGCGTGAAAGCGTCTCCATGCGGTCGCAGGACCGAGGGCACATCTCCGGAAAACCTCGGATCTTCCCTGACACACTCCAGGCCATTGACCTTCATCCAGGTGCGTGGCGTGAGAAGATCACTCAAGCTTGGGATCCATGCGCACCGGATAATCGGGCAGACAAAATATTGACACATGATGGAACATGTTGTGTTTTGCTTCAGCAGATGCTTATATATGTTTTTGTCATATCATGTTATCATGGCAACGTGCCGAACACGTCCGAACAACTCTATTTGTTTCATTGACAACCTTCAAGATTTGGCCGAACATTGTGTTTGTTTGGCTGCACAGCCAGGAGATTTGTGTAGCATGGAAGGTGCCTTCCAGCGACACTACTCCCATCAGATCGCAAAGGCGCACGGAGGTCAAAAACAAACACTTACACACTCTGACATTGGTTTTCAGTTAACTCAGTTCCCAAGTGGAAAATGGCGAGTCAAAGGAAAGGAAAGGTGCATGAGTCCGCAGAAACAGTATTGTTGAACATCGTGTTGAAATGCAAGCACAAGCGGTCAAAACTCTTTGCAAATCACGAACGGTTGAAAGCTGCAGTGGGAAACCTGTTTATGGGAGAGTATCGTGAAGAAGAACCATGGAAACAACGAACAGCGGCAGGGTGGACCATTGGTGTCAAAGTGTTGAAAGCAGGTACGTGACTCCAGCGTCCCAGAGTCATATCACATCCGATCAGCAGTGTCTTTGTTAGGCAGTGACTGCTGAAAGGACCACTGCCCCCCCTGCTGGAACAAAACGAGGAAAACTCTTAGATACAGAGTCTGACACACACACCCCGCCGCTTTGCGGCGCTCTGGCATAAAAACCTAAATAGGCACCTAAAAAGCCTTAGAAAAGCAAGAAAGAAAAGCAGAAAGAGCAGCCCTAAAGCGGCAGGAGAGAAAGATAGGTGTAGAAAAAGGTGAATACTTAGCCCTTGACTGGGGTAGGGAAACGCACCTCAAGAATCACCTAAAAAGCCTGAAAGAAAGCCCAACAAACGACGAAAAACGCAAGAAGGAAAGCGGGGGGCAGGGAGGGGGTTTATGTCCATGTGTGTGTGTCTGAATACAGCACTCTAGAGTTACTGATTACTTAGTAGAAATGAATTAAGTGCAGTAGTTAGGGAGCGGGACTTTAGTCTTAAACCGCCCGGGTAGAGTAGACTAGAAAAGGGACAACAGAGGGAAAGGCACCGACGCACAAGTGTCTCGAGTACCATTTCCCTCTGTTACCCTAATTAGTGGGTGGGGGGGGGTTGGGGGGTTTATTCTCCGTGAAAGCCCGGCGGCTGGTGAAGCAGTCGATCCAGTGGTGAAAAAGGAAACGGTTAAGAGAATCCAAGGTTTGAAGGGAAGAGTGGAAGCTGTTACACGAGATTTCCGGCATGAATTCAGCGCCCCAGTGACGGGGATCACACTAAGCACCCAAGTGGGACGACTGAGCGATTCACACTCTGACATTGGTTTTCAGTTAACTCAGTTCCCAAGTGGAAAATGGCGAGGGAAAGGAAAGGTGCATGAGTCCGCAGAAACAGTATTGTTGAACATCGTGTTGAAATGCAAGCACAAGCGGTCAAAACTCTCTGCAAATCACGAACGGCTGAAAGCTGCAGTGGGAAACCTGTTTATGGGAGAGTATCGTGAAGAAGAACCATGGAAACAACGAACAGCGGCAGGGTGGACCATTGGTGTCAAAGTGTTGAAAGCAGGTACGTGACTCCAGCGTCCCAGAGTCATATCACATCCGATCAGCAGTGTCTTTGTTAGGCAGTGACTGCTGAAAGGACCACTGCCCCCCTGCTGGAACAAAACGAGGAAAACTCTTAGATACAGAGTCTGACACACACACACACACACTTTGGGGATAGGATAATGTATTTACATGACATGTGACATATTGTTTCATGTTGTTTATTGGTTGAGTCGGAATCAGTTGGAGTGGACCTTGTCTCAGCATTCAACCAATTGTCTTGTGCTTTACTTTAGCCCACCCCTTTCTTTTGTATTTTCAAAGGTGCTTCGATTGTAGAGATGACATGGGTTACCACAGACTATACGGCAACATACTGCATAAGTTTTCTCAACATGATACTCAAGTGCCCTCACAGGATACTCAGTTCTTTGTTGGTTGGGTTTTGATCACTTGTTCTGGTCATGGAAGACTGGTCATGCCACGGTCCGGTCGGTGCGTGGTTTTTCGCAGTCCAAAACATCGAAGCACAGTTGGTATTTTCAAAGGCATTCAGACCCTCATCAAGAGATATCTAATGTTTGTTTTTTTTTTGTGTGTGTTTTTTCCGTAGATTATTTATGCTTAGACGATTCTAGATGATAGTGTATAAACTATCCAACTTTGACTTTATGGTGTTTTGTTTTCACCATTGTGCTTGAGATTTGCGTCAAGACCTTTGATGATACAAACCCCTGAGCTTCACTTTCCACATGTGGTTCTTTGCACCTTTCCAGCCCGTTGTGGTTTCCATGCAATGGTCCCCCTTTGGATGCTTATTTGTGTTCTGGCGGAAACAGTTGATGTTTCGCTCGTTGAACGTTGCGCCGGCGGAAGCGCGCCAGGGCACCAGCCCAGGCTCTTCTCCTCGGGAGCTTGGGCACCAAGCCACCGGATGAGCGGTTGGAACGAAAGTCATGTGACGACTCTTGATGAATAAAACCCACCCATTTGGCCTGTAAAAGCTCTTACTCTTCATATGTTTTTTTGTAATAATCATGATTCTATATACATTAGATATCCCAGCCAACATAAGCTCTGGAGCTGGAGGCTTTGGGATACAGCATCTACCAGATGCGGGGCTGTGTAAATTTGTAGGGTACCCTGTGACTTGCAATTCTGGTGCCCCAACAATCCATTCCATGACTAGAGTAGGAAGCCGGACAACAACGGTAGAGGTCCATATTCAGCTTCTGTGTTTCTGAGTTGAAGTGTAAATATATAGAGGAACTAACCCGTGGTTTTCCAGTGTTCTGCTCTCTTAAAGAAAGGTGATCTTTGGGAAGGTCAAGAAGCCAAGATGCCAGCAGAAGCTCAGTGAAGGTAGACCAATTGTCCAGACTTTGCTTGCTTAGAAGATCAGAGACGGTCTATTGACTAGTGACTAGTGGCTATGGTATGGCATGGTATGGTCTAGATCAGTTGGTATGGTCTAGTGACTAGTGGTCTAGTGACACATCCCTCATGCGTTGCACCCGGGTGAGACACTCTCCGGGTGCCACACTCGACACGGACCGGCGGACAGGGAGGGCAGGCCACCCCACCCCTGCAGTTAGGGGATGAGCTAGGGTGTGGACTGTTAAACCACAACAACAAATTGTTCAGAAGATCATCCTCCCAAAATAACCAAACCTTTTTGGGCCATGGCCGTTTCTGATTCGAAAGAGTAGTCATCCCCAGTTGCATGGAGTGCACATATTATGGCCATTTGATATTGAATCGACTTGTGGCATACATTCGAACCTCCCCCTGTTCGTTCCTTAGATCCCAATTAGTGGGCTCAGAACTATAGATATAATACTTACGGAGGATGCTGGAGGTCAATATAATTGATTATTATAACTTGCCTTTTCAGCAACAGCTAACTCACCATACTATCCTGCTATGTTGTTCGATCAACCATGTTTGTGGGAGCTGAAGTCTTTCAAAAGTCTTAGCGGTCATATAGGGTCGTGTTTGGTGTCATAGACATACCTACATACATCTACATACCTATACGTATACATGTATACATGCATGCATGCATGCATACAGTACACGTTCATGCATCCGTCCGTCTGTCCGTCCGTCCGTCCATCCATACATCCACAGGATGCCACGGGCTTTTATTTTTTTTGAAAACCTCCTTTTGCTTCTTTGAGGATTCAAGAAGGAGCGCACAAGGCCACTTGGTTGCCAAGGAAGAGAGCCATAAACGCTTAGCAACACGTGGCATTGTTTGTTGAAACGGTGTCCGTACGCAGCAAGGAGGTCGAGACAACTTCCCCGACTTGCAACGGTATTGAAAAAGTTCCTTGTTCCTAAGGTTCCGTTTGAGCATTTTGGAGCATATTAGTTCTGTGGTTCGAAAGAGTGTTTGGCATTTCAGTGGCGTCCATAAAACGTAGGAGAAAAAATTGTGCCACTGGTTGGAACGGGTAGGTGACTTTCACGACGGTCACCCGACTTGTCAACACTTCCAGGATAATTTGGAAGAGAGTTTGCCAGGGTGGGCTGCTGAAAAAAAATCAGAGAGGAGTAAACACTGGCAGCATGTGGCAGTCTTTGGTGGGGTGTCACTTCTCATCCCCAATGCCATCATATGGATCAAAACAGGATACCTTGTTTAACGGTCTTTCACTCCATGGTGGACTAGTCGGGATCTAGGTGGGTCACGAGCCAGCTTTGTTAACTTTTGTTTCGCCTTGCTTGGACCAATCTTGACCGGACCCCGGCTGTTGCCCTTGTCGAAAATCCGTCGGAGAGTGCTCCCTTTGAGGCCTATAATCATACCGAAATTCTTCGTATCAACCAAAACTCACAAAAAGAAAAACGCACGTGTCCACAATGCCCCTTGTCCAGTTGTGGACATGAGAATTGAGGTCCGGATCAATCTCACTTGGCGATACATCGTGCGGATCTCAGCTTGGATTGAGCTCCCAAGTCTCGCAAATCATGCTGATTTGCTTATAGACTATAGCTTATAGAGTCGAGCACTACTTCCTTCTTAAGACCTCCATATTATATACATAGGACGTTGTCGGCCTAATGTAAGACCCATGACTATATTGAATCCTTTTGAACTCAATGGATTTTGCCATGGGAATTTAGGCAAGTAGAAGTGGCCTCGTTGTTCAAGTGTTCTGGTTGATCAAGCAGTGACCACATGGAATGAGGGCCAGCGGCCAGAGGGCCCACCCTGTTGCACAGATCCATCAATCCCACCCAGTGTTCAATCAGTCGGGAGAGTAGTCATGCTTTGCTCAATACCACATTATCAATCATACAGATCAAACAGAAACCAAGGTGAGGTAGGGTCCAACCCAATGGCTAGACTCGAGCAGTTTTTGCTTTTCAACTTCCGCACCGACAGGATTTGTTCATTGTACGACAGGAGCTGTTGTGACCGACCCGAAACGAGGTGTCTCACAAGGCTTACTGTCCTCGGAAGGAAGCCGCGCGAGAGGAATGAAGGCACCCGTGTCGCCGTCAGCTCCGGGGTGGCCCAGTTCATTCCAAAATCTCAGAAGAGTGTTGTTGAACTTCAAGGTGGTAGCCATTGCCAGATGTAGCCAAGATGCAATCGAGCCTGCATGCTCCAAGATCCTAGTGGGCTCTTGTCAGGCTTGGTGATTTCATGAACAGGACAGCTGTCCCTTGTCCTTTTGATGCTGTTGGGGCCACCCTGTGCTCGCAGAGCAGATTGTTAACGATTTGTACGGATATGGCCAGGAACGAGGATAGGTGCGTGTCAAAACCTGAAACATTGGGAGAAGAAGCGAACGATCCATTCCATAGAACGTTGAGATGAGATTTGGATAGCCCGATCTTTCTGGTGTCCACAGCCGATCGTGGTTCCCTGAGCTTCTGGCCATACCCAGTTCAGGTCGGCTGCCATGGAATGTTCAATCCCGTTCGACTCCCCTAGCGACGAAGACAGGCTTGTCCTTCTTGAGAGAGAAGACAGCCTGACAGCGACGAGTGCGTTTGACCGAGTACCAAGAACGGACATGTACTTGAATATACAATTATGAATATATATATATATATATACAAATTGCATCAAATTGCAAGATCATATGATTGTACTCGATTGTACTGTATAATGAGTTATAATGAGTATGCATAGTATAACAATTAACATATACATGAACTATCAGATATATTGTAATGTCCAACGTTGCAAGTACAAGCAACAGTTTTAAAGACAAGTCCAGGTTCAACCTGACATGTTTGATTATATACAGACTCTTCACCATGGCCCCCGCTGTGGGTTATACAGACCATCTCAATCTTTGCAAAACACCGAGAATCCCGCAAAAACCAGCGGTTTGTATGGGAATGATTCCTTGGGGGAAGCATGATGAATATTGAATGGTGTCTATGGGAATGATTAGTTGGGGGAAACATGAATAATGAATGGACACCGTTTCTGTGGCAGTCAACGACGTCGAAGCGCACCAACGAAGCACCCGCTGGCCGAAGCCCCGGCGGTGCAGCTGGTGCTGTCGGTCCAGCAAGTCCGCGGTGAATTCTGGAGAAATCTGGAGATCCAGGACGGAGCATCCCACTTGAAACCACTGGAATTACTGTAGTTGACTCAGCATATCTCAGCATCCTGTGGAAAAAACACATTATAGAATATTGGCAACTCGTTCTTGAAATCACATGAAATCCCCCAGAGCATCCCAACAAGGGGCTTGGAAATCCATCCCCGGACTGACGAAAATATGACGAGCTGAGCCGTCATACAGGTATTCTGTCATGCAGGTATTCAGCTGAGATGAGCTCTCAATATGATTCTGTTTCTGTTTCCCTCACACTTTCTTCATGCAATTTCACACTAAGCAGGATCGTTGGCCGGAAGGGAATGGGAGGGTTGTGGGTCAACTGACTCCTCATGTACCCGAGCTCCATGTCACCCGAGCCCGAGCCGAAAAACATCACTCCACTCAGAAAGACATGCAGGGCTGGGGAACATGAGATGCATACTGCATACTGTTATATTCTTGAATTACTTGAGCATGTTGGATGTCGAACGGCTCACAGCAGTAGTGAAGTGAAGATCTTGAGAACCGTGCCACAGGATGGATGCACTGGTGTTTCCTTGTGACCTAAGAAGTACATGTAGTTGGAACCCTTTGAAAGGTCACTTTGGATCACTTTGGAACTGCCAGGAGGTGACAAGATTTGTTACATTTCGTCAATTAGAGCTTGTTGTTCAAAATGTTCTTCCTCCTACCCTACCCGATTCTACCCAATCTAGGACTCTTGAGCGTTTCGTACTTTTGAGGCCTTGCTGGACTTGCACATTTTTGTAAGTGGCTTGCAGCCCTGCATTTACAGTGCCATTGCGGCTGTATTGCATATGCGGCGCATACGTAGAAGGGCCCTCCCACGGCACCAAGAGTTTGAAGTTCAGGACAGGGTAGACACCCTCCCATTCCAGACTACGATTGGACTGGTACGGTAATGCTCGTCACGTCGATCTTGCTAGTCACTATGAGTGGGGTTTCTATGTACTGTGTCGTTGGCACCTTCAGGTCGCCGCAGTTCGCCGGTGTTGGCAAGGGTCGTTCCCATTGGTTTCAGGGGCCGGTGCTTGGAAACCTGATACAAACTCCTTCAATCTACTAGCGTCCTTGTAACTAGTGGCAATGCACCTTGTTACGAGTAGCGTCCTTGCTACTAGTAGTAATGCCAGGAGCTACTAGTAGCGTCCTTAGTTCCTAGTAGCGATGCCCTTGTTACTAATAGCGATAGAACTTGTGAAGTGACCTGACCAATCCATTTGACCATGTTTTGGGCGGGCCCATGATAGATTAGAAGTGCCTGTGCTTTGGCTGTGAATCCAAAAGAGATTTGGCCTTCGAGAACAAGAGATTTGGTCATAAAAAATGGCCAACGAGGACTGCACCACCAGGGACTCTCAGTACCCCAGACAACACTCAGTGCGAACTGACGATCACCATCGATCACCTGATCAATGGGGATCGGGGGATCCCTAGAAATAATGATTCACAGGTTTTGGGTGGTGCCGCCAACAGTCGTTTTGTTTCAGGCCGCTGTCGAAGCTTAGGCCAGGCAGGCATTCTGAACCTTCTTTTTAAAGCACATACTGGCACATACTTACAGAAATCCCACAAGAAGAGGAACATGGTGTTCCTTGTCCTATTTGCATGAGCGCTTTCGGTTGGTTCTTAGCGCAGACGTGCGGCCATTTGGTGCAAGATGGAACTGTATTGTGAGATTGTTGAGACAACCACCTCCAGGAGGTATTCTTCCAGTGTAACAGGTCCCAGGTGGGTGCAGGTCCAGATGCTCGAAGCATTTGGCTTAGAATTGCAAAGGTTTCCGGTCTCGAAACACCTGATCAAGCACTTCATCATGTCGAACTCTTCAAGCAATGCCAATTGATGAATCACCTTCAAAACTTGGTGAACCCTTTTCTAAGCCTGGTTGCACAGTGAAAAGGCCATCAGGGACGAGGAAAGGCTTTCATCATCTCCGTGCACATCTGTGCCAGCCATGTGGACCAAAGATTCGAAGTGAGGGAGCCCAAAAGAAAGCAAATTCCGATGGACAAAGGGGTTCTTCGCGAATGACCCGGCAGAATGGGGGTTTGGGTCACGAAGATCTACCAGCAGCTCTGAAAAGCTGTGGCGACATTAGATCACCCTACAAGTGAATAGTACTCCTGGAGGGGGTTGTGGGCAGGCCGCAGCATTTTTGACCTTCAGAAGAATGGTTCTATTCCTGCAGTTCCCCCGTGAAGATGGCTTGGATTGCAGGTTTTGCTGATGGTTTCGAGACTCCATGCATTTGTTCGCTCAGGCTCTTGTTTGGGGGTTGGGGTTGTACTGTACTTGTTCCTGGTTTTGAGTTCTTGGCTTGGCCTGGGGAGTGCGGTTTGGCTGCAGGGTTGAACACATCGAGCTTGCTTTGCACAGGCTCTGTATCCTTGGCTTTTCAGCATTCTATTTTATAGACAGTTGATGAATTGGTGTCCTTCCTTTGCATGTTTTCGAACTTTTGACATTCCATACATGTTCGACATATGTTTTGTTCACAAATATGATACCCCCTCTCAATCCTAAAAGACACAAAGACTATAAGTTCATTCCAAGGAACAATATAAATCATTGGACTTGCCTGCAACATGTGTGAACATCAGGGCTCGGTGGCTCAACACATTCATTGGTGGGACCTTTGCTCGGGATTCATTGCTCTACACGACATATTCATAATATGAATTCACTGGATTCTGGATTGCAATTAGGGTGGAGGCAATTAGGGTGGAGGCCATTTGTAGTAGGTTGGAGGCCATCGCTCTTATATAGGTTGGAGGCCATCGCGCATTCACGTCTCCAAACGACAGATGTAGAAGCCCAGGGACCCCGTGGCGTCCACTTCCGTGCGGAGAAAGGCGCCGTGTCCAGGAACGACTCGGGGAAGCCCAACCTGGATGCGGAGCAGCTCTCGAAGCTTCAGGAGACCTGTCGACATGTCGCTGTCGGCGTGTAGCTCGCGGCAGCGTTTGTCGGTGGGTTTCGCTGCGCTCAGATGGGGTGAAGTAGAACATCCTTTTGAGCGTCCGGAAAGAGCTGATCAGGACCGCAACAAGCTTTTGGACATTCTGGAGAATCAGGGCCAACAGATTGCATCTTGGATTGAATCCTCCGCAGCGTTGGTCCACGTCCACCTCTTCCAGGACTCAGGACTCGGTGGTGTCAGTGGACACCACGGATCACCGGCATCTCGACACCCCCGTTTAGGGTCACAGGCCATGGGCGATTCTCGACCGGTTTCAGCGGGACGATTCTCGCAGCAAGCTTTGCGTTCGCAGCGGGGACCTATGGGGATCTACTAGTACTATAGTAGCGTCCTTGTTAGTAGCGATGCACCTTGTTACTAGTAGCGTCCCGAGTCCCTACCAGGAATGCCAGGAGCTACGTTCGTAGCTTCTTGTTACTTGGATTTCGGGGTCACCAAGCTTTGCAATATTTACCACTGAAACTCGTCCGATAAAAGACTTGAGTTCAATCCCCAAGCCAGTGGCTTACGCATACTGCGCCACTGGCTGAAGAAGAGCTTACTGTATATTTTGGGAAGTAAACAAGTAAGCCAGCATGCCAGCACAGCGACGTTGTTGATTCATTGAAATTGAAATCAGGCTTTGCTTTTGTCCGCTACGGTCCGCTACGGAGTTTGGTCGTGTTTCTTCTGAAGAAGATGAGGTTTGCTGTAAGTAAAGGGAGGAGGATCCCTACAAAATCCTCCTGCGGGGATGCTTAAACATTCTGTCAAAGCCTTTGATGAAGATTAGTCAAACCATAATTCGGAGTGTACTAGAGGTTGGGTTTGCTTTGTATTCTTCTGTAGGATGTTTTGCTTTGACATTTTCTTGGGCCCCAGTGGACATCATTCAGGGTGCAAATCTATCTCAGAGGTTTGGACACCGACATTCAAGCG